TGAATGAATATTTCCTGAGTACTCACTGAGTAACAATACTCAGAAATTGTTAGTAGTACCAATATGAGTACTCATGGACGAATTATGAGTAAAGTCGTACTCATCGTATGAGTACTTTCACTAGGGTGTGTTCTAGTCTCGTCGCCACCAGACATGGAATGACCCTGGGCAAGTCATTAACGGTTGTTTGTCTCGGATCATCCGTCCGACAGCAAGCTGACTACGTTTTGACATACATCAGCCCTCGTAGCTATTATGTGGTTAGTTAGTGTGTACGAGGAGCTCATGCAATTGTACGAAAGAACTCGGAGTCAGACTGGCCTTCAATCCAGAGCTACTGCTAGTATTAGTTGTAGGGAACATATCGGGCTTACGAAACTGTCTCCGGACAGCACCCTATACCGCGAGGTAGCCGAAAGGCGGAGTATTCTTCCTTATACTTATTCTTTGATGAGAACGATGTACACTCCTTTATCCTGAAATATGCACATTGTAAAAAAAACAAAGTATGCTCAGAAATGTGTAAAACATCTAGGTGGTCACTGGAGGACAAAAAGCGTGTAAAGTCTTTTAGTGAGTAAACGAAGTATGCCCATTTCAAAACGTGTAGAAATTTTTTATTATTTTCGCTTTTTGCTGAGAACTACTATACTAAAAAAACTAATTCCAGAATCATATCTTTGTATACAAAAAGAAATATGTTTGGAGCATAATTAGGTAAGTGGTTCAAGACGGTCACTGAGGAACAACTAGCGTTCACTTTAAATGTGTTAACTAATTATTTCTACCAAGAATAAATACTTGTACTTTGCACGCTATATATATATTGTGCCGTATTTGACATGATACTCTTAAATATCACGCGACCATTAAGAAAAGCGGTGTATTTTATTTGAAAAATAATATGATTACACGTCTATTACAGCACATACAAAAAATATAACTTCAGATCGTTTATCTACAATCAGAGATACACATGCACTAATATGTTCGAGTACAAGTACTTTACTCCCGAGAAAACATAGTAGGATTTGTTTCACGTCTGCTAGTAGCTAACAGATTTATTGAAAGAATTAAAAAATGAAATAAATTATTATTGCAGACATTTCATATATCAAACTGTAAATTATTTTTCGTCCCATATCTGTTCGTGAACTCTTAAGATATCAATCAAAATTCAACTACGTGATGTTATTTTTGACCGTATTTTCAACCCATAAATATGTCGATATTATTAACTTCTTTTTTTTTCAAGTAAAAATAAATGTTTAGTCAAGTACTCAAGTACTTTTCTCAGTACTCGTAAAAAAAATGTCGAATACAAATGTGATACTAAACGTTTTTTGGCCTTGCTACAGTTATTGTGGAGATGAATGCCATTTTTCTGAAACTGTAGCATCACGCATGAGAATGAGTGACTGACTCGAGAGAGAAAAACCAAATAGAAAGAAAGATATAGATAAAGAGAGAAAAAATGAAGAAAAGAAGAGTTTTCTCTAGTGGAAAGGAGTATAGCTATTAGACTATAGATCTATCTATACTACCTCTTTTGTTTTCGCTCAAAGAACACATTCCTTAACGTTGTTATCAGTTTGTTTTTTCTAGTATCGATGTACATGAATATAACAGGTTTATTTTTACTTTATGTTAGAAGAACGTGGGATCCAAACATGATAACATGATTATATAATTTCTTAACAGAAATGATCGATGTACTATACTAAACTATAACAGAAAAGAGAAAAGAAAAATATATATAAAGAAATCCTTGCTTTTCTTCTAGATTCTATTCATGTGAATAGCACGTTTAACTCGGAACAGAGTTGTCTGAGAAACAGAGTTGTCTTTTCAAATTATACAGGAAGGGAGAGCAGCGAGAAATAAATAAAAATATGAACCTACATGAATAACTTTTTACTGTGCTTAGATCACTTGTACTTCATTTTTTTCGAGATGTAATTTTTCTTCATTGGTAATCAAACAGTTCACACATCAAGTTTTATTATATTATTTTCATAGTTTTTATTCATGTAAATTAGCGCTTGTTATGGATTCATTACCTGATATTAACATTAAATTATCATCACCAATTCCAGTAAGTACTACCATCTCCACAACTACCACTACAACAACTGAAAATGATAACAAGAATAAATGTCTTAAAATATTCCATAATAGACACCTATTACTTTGCGCTATGTATTTTGCATTGGCCTATTTTATTCAAGGAGTAACTGATATAGCAAGGTACGAGAGCAATTATTTATTCTTTAAAATCATATATAATATATTCTTTTTCTTCTCTGTAGCGGTTTTGTGAATCTTCCTCTACAAACAATTCTAAAAGATTATTTAAAATTACATCCATCAGAAATGTCTGCATTTTTCTTCTTCTGTACGATCACATGTAAGTTCAGCAATTTGATCTATTTAATAGTCTCATTCTCAACATAATTTTCTTTGATTCTTTAAAGGGTCAATCAAACCATTGTATGGTCTATTGAGCGATTTCGTCCCCATATTGGGTTATCATAGACTAATCTATCTATTAGCAACAACAATAATTAATTTTATATCATGGATAGCATTATTCGTTTGTCCATTAGAATATGATTATTTATTATTGTTTTGTATACTATGTGCATTCAGTCTCGCATTCAACGATGTATTAGGTACTTTTTCTATTTCAATAATAAAGCTGAGATACATAGATCGTATATGTGAGAGAGGATAACAAGAAACATGACTAACACACATGCGAGAATTTTGCCGAGATAATAAATTGAAAGCTGTCTACATAATTGTTTTTCTGCCCATATTTTGAGAGAAATTTTGTTAGGTCTAGCCTATAAATAGAATGGCGCTTCTATGGTGAAACTATACGTCAAGATAGATAAGCCGATAAAATGTCATACTCTGTAAAAAGCTTCTAAAATCTACATTTTTCAACCAAATTGCTTCAAGTTTTCAAAACTCATTCAATTTCGCCTACTGTACAGCTTAGGAATGTTAAAGTTATTGCTCATACTGAGGTTTCACCTGAAGATCTTCAGAAGTTTTCTGGAAAATCTCGCTCTGCCTTTTGTAGTTCTGGTCATCAGATCGGATAGAACAGCTTTTCTTATGCTTATTCTTCAACTTTCATGCAGTTTAGTTGAAAAAATAAGATGCTAGAAGCTTTTTATTTTACGAGGGAAGGTCCCAAGTGTTACTCTCACTTTTCAATGGAACATATCCTACTTTGTAGAGTTCGATGAGCTGATTATGATGGTATAAAGCATTTTCTCGCATGGTTCTTGAAGTCTAAAAAATAACCAAAACCATTCTTAACGAAGCATAATTGTAGCGCGCACATTTCTGAGTAAAATGAGACATCCACCAGCTCTACACGACCTTTCTTTGCAAAGTTATAGAATTTATAACATACGCCACC